GGTGGGGGTCTAGAGCAGTGATTTTTAACCGGTATGCTGCAAAAATTTTAAAGATCATTAAATTATTTTCAAAAGAAGTTCAAAGCACAGTAACTTTTTTTATTTTTTTTTTCTGATCAACATTTCAGTGTGCCACACAAGTTTAACATAGGTTTAAGTGTGCCATGAAATAAAAAAGGTTGAAAAACACTGCTCTAGAGGATCTTGTGGTAAGAGCTCCCCCAGGCTGCAGCATAGCCATGGCTTCTCCCAGGTGATTCTCACAGAGGTCCTCACTACCCGCATCTGCCGAGGGCTGAAGCTCAGGATCTGAGGCCCTCAGGCCATCCTGTTGCCTGATACCTTGGTTCAGCTCTGCTCAGGCCTTTGGGTGGCAGCCCAGTTAAGCAGTGTGCTAAGCTTCTGAGGTTGTTTTCCCTCAAAGATGTGATTTCTTGCCTGGCTCCCTTGACTCCAGACACTAACATCACCATCATCATCTGAGAAAGAAGAGTTCGCAGAGGCCCAGGGACCTTTCATTGACCTGTCCTTGGACCCTGGGTCTTTGCCAACAGGCCCTGCCATCTAGCTGCTGCTGCTGCTTCCTGGTAGCTGAGAAATTTCTGCCCACCACTTCTCTGTTGAATACCTGCAACTCTTTCACAGCCAGCCCCTAGAAAGTGGGCAGGACTCTCCTTCTATCTTCTGTCCATCCTCCTCTCTGCATATCTGCTTTACTCTCCTTTCCTACAGACTAGATTTCTGGACTTCTCTGTATATGGAGGAGAGATAAGTACCTGAAAGCCCCAAAATTTATGTGTAATAATTTCACACTGTCACTGAACCTGACTTTCAGCCTCTCGAATTTGGTTCTTAATAGCCGCTGTCCTATTTATTCAGCTGTCAGGATGGGGACATTTGGTACAAATGCATGAACCAGGGACATGACTCAGGGAAGGGTAGGGGGCTCACAGAAAAGGTCTTTCAAAACTACTGCTAGAAGAGATGTCCCAGGATCCAGAAGAATTCACAGTGGCAGCTTCCTACCTATAGATGAAGGTGAATCATCAGGAAGGTGCCAGGACAAAACATGGCCTAGTGGGACTGGCTTCCTATCAGGGGTTTGCTGGGGCAGGTAAACACTGTTGATGAACAGCGTCACCTGGACCCTTACATAGGCACACTCCTGCCAGGGCTCTGTGTACTTGAGACAGAAAAATGAGGGTGGGGGAACCCTACTTCTGCTAAGACCAAGAACACTGAGGCCTCATCCTAATAATTATCCAAGACTTCTCTCTGCTCTCCAACCCCTAGGCTAGTGCTCCCCAACAGGGACTCAGCGCTTTATGAAATCTAGCTCCCAAGATACCTACAACCTATTACGTACCTAGAAAATGATGGCGAGGAAAGTGGCCTTTCAGATCCATGTGGCCTTTCAGATGGGCTTGCCTGAATGTTTATCACATTGTTGGCCCCCATAGTATCCTGGCTGTTTCTATCTCAGCAGCACTGCCCACTCCTCCTCTTCCCAGTGTGGTGACCTTTGGCAAGTGACTCTACCTCTCCAAGCCTCAGATTCTTTATTATATAAAGCAGGGATAGTATTAGTTCCCACCTCACAGTGTTGTGTGATTAAATGAGACACTGAGCAAATTCTGCTCAGCACATTGCCAGGCACATCATCTCACTACCACCACCATTATGACTATCATCCCATCATCATCACCACCACCATCATCCCATCATCACCACTACCTTCATCACCATCATCATCACTTTCACCCCATCACCTGTCTCCTCCTCCTCAACACCTTCCCCTCCATGTGGGGCTGAGGTATTCTACCTGGCTGCTAGTCTGCATATTCCCAGACCGAAGTTCCCTGAGCTGGTCAGGGCAGGCCTTAGATACCTGCTGCAGCCTTCTCTTCCCACCTCCAGCCAAGATCCCTGAGAGGAGGCGGTCAGATGGTCTTCCTGGGACACATTGTATTCAGCCACATATTCTCAGAATGAGCCTGGGAAGGGTCTGTAGTTCTGATATGGGTGCCCCCCATCAGCGAAATCCTTTGATTTCTGGGGTTCATCAGGTATCACCACCCATTCATTTTGCATTTTCTGGTCCTGAACATTCATATAACAAGTCATCTCAAATCAGGGATGCTTCCAGATACTTTCAGATCTCCTGGTTCCAGTGGCTGAGATCCTGACTCCTGATACCAACCTGCCAGAGTCACCCTGCTCAGCATAACCCTTCTCCAGCTCTGAGGGGCTCACGTGGAAGGGGAGGCTGCCTCCCCCACCCTGGCTCTAGTTGCCTATAGACAAGTCCCTGGAAACAGTTACCCTGATGCTACCCTTCAAGGCCCAGGGTTGCTTTTTCCACTCCAGGGAGAGTAGGCGCTGACTTCCATGGCCTGCCATGGCCCTCACCTCACACAGGAATGCAAACCTTCCTTTGTGAGCTCTTGCATTTCTATCTCATGAAAGGCCAGCAAGGTGGGACAAGTGGCTTTGCCTCCTTGAGCCTCAGTTTCCTCATCTAAAACCGGGTATGAGAGCAGTGCACCCCACAGAGGTGGCTGAATCCATGTGTGAAAGCACTTAGTTGGCAGCTGATAAGAGACAGATGCTAAGTGCCAAGTAGCCAAGACCATCAGCAGAACACTCCCTGGGGGAAGCCCAGAGACAGGAGAATTTCATGGCCATTCAGTCTCACAGACACTGACAGAGACCAGGCAGGGTGAGCTGCAGGCAGAGACCACCCCCTCATAGAGGTGCCTCTGAGAGTAGAATGACAGGAAGGGCCCGACAGCAGGCCCAGGGTACTGTGGTAGACCCACCACATGAACACCTCTGCCTTGACAGGCTGCACCTCATGGTGGTGAGAAACAGGCTATAGAGTCAGGTCAGTTCAAGTCCTGGTTTCCAAGGCCTGTGCCTTAGTCGGGTAGCTTCACTGAGCTTTCCTTTCCTCATTGTGGGGAGGAAAATGGTGCTTAACCCAGGCTGCTCAGAGAGAGTGAGTGCCACGCCTGACGTGTGCAAACTCGTTCCGAGTGACTCTGTGCTATGCTGGTCAGCACCCTGTACCCTGGCATTCCTGTACTGCCCAGCCATCCACTCCATTGCAAATCCCCTCACTCCTTTAGGAGGGCCACGGAAAGACTGCTCACAAGGCCAGGCTGGCCAGAAGATGGTGGTGTCCAGCTGTGCCTCAACACATGTCAGCTCTGCCAAATACCTGCTAATACACAGCCACGGACCATCTCTCGGAAAGGGTGGGAATGATGTAAGGAAGAAGCAGCGCTGTCCACCCTGCCCTGTCTGAGGACCAGGTGGTGATTTTGGACAGTCCACCTTCACCCCTCGTTTTCCTGGGGTGACAAGGAAAAAAGACTCATGAGAAGAAAGGTGGAGAAAGGACTAGAGGATCCAGCTCTGGGAAGGGAGGCTCCATTGCCAACTCCAAATAGGCGGGCCTCAGAGTGGGAATCCAGATCGAATGACCAGGGGACACTCCATGGGCAGCCAACACAGCCATGAAGGATGTCAGTGGAGAAAAGTTCAGTCAGGCCCTGCTCAGGGGAAAGAAGAGGCCAGCCCCTAGCAGCATTGCCTCAGAGCCGGGCTGTCAGGCGGTGTCCTCAGCTGCGAGATGCTTGACAGACGGCACCAGTAACAACAGAGCACTGAGGCAGATTCATGGTGATCTGTGTGGTGTCATGTTCACTGTCTGCATTCCAACCCTCCTTCTGAATGGAAGAGGGAGGAGACAGCTCACCAATGGACCGGGAGTTGAACATACCGGGGCCTTTTGTCTGTGCCACAGCTCAGGTGGGAGGGTAGCCTGTGACCATCATGAGACCCAATACGTTAGAGGACTTGGGGGGCGGAGCACATGCTGTAGCACATCATCCTAAAGGAGAGGTGCTGATGGGCAGGAGAGGGGGCCCAAAACAGCTGCCCTAGATGATTCGACCAGCCCTGAACTCAGGTCCCTGACAGTGGACCTCAGATGACCATCAGGAATGGCAGCTTGGGTGGAAGATGGTGGGCCCTGGGCTCAATGATGGTATGGTGCACTTAACCGCAGGGCGTGGGGACATCCCCACACTACCCCCGGTGTTGGGATCACAGGGCATTGTGCAGTAACCTAAGACTGACTGGCCATGGAGAGCAGAAGGACTATTTGGAGAGGAAGTCTGGACCTCATCTGACTTCATAAAATGGGTAACATCCTGGTCTGGCCCATGGGCAGGGAAAGCTACAGACCATGCTGCCGGGAAGGAGAGAAGGCTGGCACATCAAGAGGATACAGGAAGTGAGTCTTCTAAGACAGGAAAGGGTGAAGAAGGAGAGAGATAGTGCCTTCCCCCAACAAAGCTGAGCTGGAGCTGCACACTGGCCTGGAAGGCTTGCTGCCAGGGAGCCGAGGTGGGAGGAAAGCCAGATGGGCAGCTCACAGAGAGGGCATGAAGCACAGCCCCTCTGGTGTTACAGCAGGTCACAGAGCAGGTTTGCAGGGGCCTGGCTGGAACTGCAAAGGACACCATCTGATGGAGAGGACGTAGCAAACAAAGGAATTCAGTTGCATCCTGGTGAATGCCCCTCAGTCCGACATGCAAGATAGCCCACACTTGTGTCTGCATGCACTTTTCATGTGGACTTGCTGGAGACTCTGTGGGCTGTTCAGTGTTTTCTACTAAACATCTCAGTCCCAGGTTGGGTTAACTGGGTGGCCTAGATTTGGGTCATCATATTGACACTGGGAAAAGGGTGAACATTCAATAAAAGTTAACAAAACAATTTCCTGGAGACTTGGGGACTTTCCTGGATGGAGGAGCTAGGGAGTGAGTATTGTGCTCACTGAACTGGCAGCTCAAGGCGTGCTTGCATCGTGACCATGACCAAGGAGGCCAGGGGAGGAGTAGGGGAATGGGCTGCCCTGCAGGTCTTTCTGAGATAATGACCCAGGTGCTCTTTCCAGGCTGTTGCTAAAATCCAACCCTTTTCCTCTGAAGCAGGGGACGTCTCTATGCCACGCTGGGGCCCAACTGGCGTGTTCCTGTTCAGAATTCTCCCAGAACCCGGAGTTGTGTCTACAGGTATGCATTTATTCATTTGTTCATTTACAGCACGTAGCTTTAGGGAGCCTCTGCTGCTGCCAGGTGCACTGATTGTCCCAGAAAGCAGGTGAGGAGAGGCCTCCCTGAAGAAGGGCCTGGTGGGGATGAACAGGGTAATAAGAAGGTTCCCGGCCAAAGGGACGGCCATGGGCAGGAAGGCAGGAAGAGCAGGGTGAGTCGGGAGTGAAGGCCAGGCAATGCTGTAAGGAATGGGGGGCATATCCAGCAGGGGTAAGGGTGGTAACCCAGACCCCAGAAACAGTGAGGAGCCCTGGAAGGGTTTGCTGAAAGTGGACAGAGGGGAGGGCATGGTGGTGGCATGACACTGGCAGGGATGGACCCAAGGAGGCTTGGGGAGAGCACAGGGCAGTGATGTAAAGGAAGATCACATGGGGTAGAATAGAGGGGCAGACCAGATGGACAGCTGGACATACCTAATCTGGGATCAGTGCATCCCTGGGACTGATTAGATTGCAAAGGCATCAGAGAGTTTTCTGGCTCAAGCAGCCCATAGGTGCTCATTGCATTGCAAGGGCATCAGAGCCAGTTTTCTGGCTCAAGCAGCCTGTAGGTGCTAGTGCAATTCACTGGGATGGGAGGAAGGTGAGGGTCAGTGAGGTGAGCTTAGGAGGAAGGTCCAGGATGGCCATGCCCTTGAATGTGTTCACCTGTAGATGGTGCCTGAATCCCCAAGGGAGGGGGTGAGATAAGAGCCAGGAGGAAAGTGAACAGAGAATGTGGCACCCCACTTCTACCCCTTCTTGGGCTGTTCCTCCAGGCTGTGCCAACATAAGAGGGGGGGCCGCTAGAACCTCAGAGGTAGATAAAGCCCACCAGGAGTGGCCAGGAAGAAGCCCCAGCAGAAGGGTCCCTCAGGATAGGGTGGGAGTGCTTGGAGGGGCCTGGATTATGGGGGACTTAGTCATCAAGCCTAGAGCTTTGCAGCCCCCAGAAAGACAAGGAGAGGGGGTGAAGTTGTGGTGGGCCCTTCCCTCCTGGGCCTTGCCCCTATGCTGTGGAGTTCTCTGGCCTATGGAAGTATTACAGACTCAGCAGTGGAACACCCGTGGACCCCAGTAAGTGAGAGGGTGCTTGACCTCAGCTCCTCCAGGGTGATGTCTGACCAGTGGTGTTCCCTCAGCCCCACCGGCCCGTGCATCTGTACTCTGGGAAACTCAGCAGCAGTGCCCACCATGGAGGGGCCTCTGAGAAGGAAAACCCTGCTCAAGGAAGGACGGAAGCCTGCGGTAAGTGCAGGCACACAGAGGCAGCGTGGGCAGCAGTGAAGGGCTGGGGCTAGAGACTGGCCAGCCTGGGTTCCAGCCCTGCCTGTGCCCCTGAGTGGGGAAGGGCCTCAGTTTCCACATCTGTAAATAAGGACACAAAAGCATCTACTCCTAGAAGATTCAGCAAGAAAGTCACATGCGTGACAGAGTGCCTGCACATTGCGAGTGTGCAGCAAGCTGAATTATGCCCTGGCAAGAAGGAGTCTCCCTCCTCATGGTCCTAGGTGGAGTTGGCATTGACAGGGGATGGAGAGAGCCAGGAAGGAGAGGAGGCCTGTGTAGGCATCAATGAGAGTGGCTGGGTCTGGAACCAGGCAGCTGGGGCACTCTGCCCCACCACCCCCAGCGCATCACTCTGCCTCTCCTTCGTCTAGCTGTCCTCATGGACCAGGTACTGGGTCATACTCTCAGGATCCACCCTCCTGTACTACGGAGCCAAGTCCTTGCGGGGCACAGACAGAAAACACGTAAGTCCCATGAAGGGATTCTCATGCTGGAACTTCTAGTAGGGAGGGAGTTGTGGAGTGTGGGGAAGGTGGCAGATGGGAAGGAGCCTTGCCCAGCCCAAGTTGGCCTTCCTTGTGAGTGGAGGGCTGGGCCCGGGCCTCCGCTGTGCTGTTGCTCTCCTCCAGTATAAATCCACACCTGGCAAAAAGGTTTCCATCGTGGGCTGGATGGTGCAGCTGCCTGACGACCCCGAGCACCCGGACATCTTCCAGCTGAACAACCCTGACAAAGGTAGGCAGCAGGCTGGAGCTAGGGCCGGCACCGCTCCCTACCCTGTGTTCTTTCCTGCTAAACAGGCCTTTTGAAGTTGTCAGAAGCTTTTGAGGCAGCCATTTTCTTGTTGCTTTAGATTCTGATGTTCACAAGATCTTTTTACTAGTTCATAAAAGTTGCATGGATGGTGGCTGGTACGTCCATTGAGCAGTGTGTGAGGCACCTGGCTGCAGGAATCCTTTTTGTGGCCACTTGAGCCTGTAGCTGTAGCTCAGGGTCTTGGAATAAATAACCATTCTGAGTGAGACAGGACCCTGTGGCTAGAAGGATCACAGGTCCTGGGAGAATCAGGAATCTATGCCATGAGACTCTGGCAGTCTCCAGGTGCAAGGCCAACTCAGAGAAGAACTCTTTTAACTTTAAAAAGCTGTCATTCCCTTCCCCAGCTGTCTCCCAGTTCTACGTGGTTCCTTCATTTCTCCCTTGATCATGTTGGGAAGAAGATTCTGGGCTCTATCCTGTCCAGGAGCCCTGTCTTCACTGACATTCAGAACAGGCTACTCTAAGTAACCCATGTCACATGATTGCCTGAGTCTTGGATTCCAGGCAAACTGACTGGGGCTGTAAAGTCCCAAAGCATCTTCACACCTTATCAGAAAGGTTCTACTGCAGAGCTCAGGTACATACAGATCACTTGGGGATCTTGTTAAGAAGGGAGATTGGGATTTAGTAGATCTGGGGTGGAGACCAAGAGTCTGCAGCTCTAACATGCTCCCAGATGATGCAGACGATGTGCTGGTTGAGAGACCACATCCTGAGCAATCAGGTTCTAATGTTCTCAGCTGAGAAGCAAAGAAACAAAGGGATTAGGAACCTCACGGAGCCCAGGGAATGAGGAGAATGTAGATTGCCAAGTCCTCTGCTCCAGGCTGAGTGGCACACACATGGCAGTGTGTTCTCAGTTTGGTTGCCTGGAGTTTCTTCCCCATCTATCTGGACAGGATTAGCTGTGTAAAGTAAAGGCCATGTTTGCACAAGCTTGACTTAAAGCCGTTATGGCCACGGGACCACAGGCTGCTCGTGGGCCTTAGCCCAGAGGGATTGCATTTTCAATCAGAGGAAAATGCAAGATGGAGGATGGCCAGTATCCCTGGAAGGAATTCAGGGGGTCTGCAAAATTGCATGGGAAAAAAATACATCTTTGTTTTCAGTGACTCTCTCACTGATGAATCTAGGCATCTACCAACAAAAATGTTAGCAACACCTATAATTTTATCTCTGAGAAAAATCACAGCTATTTCCATATCACATACTGTTGCAGTCATCTCAGAATACCGTTTGTGTTCATCTGTTAAAATTACAGTACAGTATCAGACCTGCCACCAAGCTCATGATTAGTGGTTTTATACAGAAGCACCTACAGAATTGCTCCATTCAGTAGTTTGATGACTGTATTGCAGTATTATTGATTTCCTTTGTATTTTATTTATGCATTTAAAACACAATCCTGGCTTGGCGCCTGTGGCTCAAGCAGCTAAGGTACCAGCCACATACACCTGAGCTGGCAGGTTCAAATCTAGCCTGGGCCCACCAAACAACAATGATGGCTGCAACCAAAAAATAGCTGGGCATTGTGGTGGGTGCGTGTATTCCCAGCTACTTGGGAGGCGGAGACAAGAGAATCACTTAAGCCCAGGAGTTTGAGGTTGCTGTGAGCTGTGATGCCACGGCACTCTAACCAGGGTGACAGCTTGAGGCTCTATCTCAAAAACAACAACAACAACAACAAAAAAAACCACAACCCTCAGAAGGGGTCCACAGGATGCACCAGACAGCCAAAGGCAACATGAATCCCCAAATGGTTACAAGCCCCAGGCCAAAGGGACAAGCTCATGGGACCAAGGGGTTGCCTTTTCCATACACTCCAGCTCACCTGGGCTGATCTGCTTTAGTGAAGTTGCCCAAGTTTGTGTTTCTCTTCATGCCATAGTCATGGCTGTGACCCTCCTATGTGACCCTCTTCTTAACCAACAGTTTCTCTACCCATCAGGCAATGTTTACAAGTTTCAGACTGGTTCTCGATTCCATGCAATACTATGGCACAAGCATTTGGACGATGCATGTAAAAGCAACAGGCCTCAGGTAAAGTCACCCAAATCCTGCTTGTCACTGAAATAGCCTTTCCCACCCTGAGGACTAAGAGTCCATAGGAAACAGGAGTCCCTTCTTCCCTCAAATCCCATAAACTGTGGTCCCAGGGACCCTCTTTTGATCGGCATTTCACCTTAAGACAAGGCATTCCCATGCTCAGCTTAGAACTAAGCCCAGCTCCAGACTAGATCTTTGGTCTGGCTCTTGTCTTTCTCACTGCAGGAAAAGCCACAGAAACATCCCCTGGGAGCAGTTAGGTGGCAGGTGTGATAGCACCCCAGGGTCAGGCTGCAGCATTCTCTAGACTATTCCCCCAAAAGGTGATTTTTGAATACTCCAAACTGACTAAAGGCCCTCCCTGCCCCACAACCAGAATAATAATAACTAACTTACTGAGAGCATACCACATGCTGGGCACAGCTACTCAGTAGGACTTGTATTGACATGAGCCCCTCTGGGCTGCTGGGCCGGGCTCATGGCCCTGCTCCCTTCTCCACCCCCCTCGCCAGGCCATTTGTGAAATGCTTTGTGTGTAGAAATTGGCTGAATTCTCCCCCACATCCCTGGAGGGTAGCTTCTCCCACTGTCCCCATTTTATACTGAGGATCCTGAGGCTCAGAAAGGGGCAGACACTAGTTTGGGGCCCCTAGTTAGTAGGAGGTAGAGCTGGGCTCTAACCCAGGCCTGCCAGAATCCACAGTACATACTTGTGGCCCTGAGCTCTGCTGCCTCCACTTCCCTGGGCATCCCTGCAGCTGAGCACAGGGCACCAGCCAGGGGCCAGTAAAGCGTCCTACTCCCTGGGGTCAGGTGGGCAGCATTGATGCTCCTCTCCCTAAGCATCCAGTGTGCACTGCACTCCTCAGGGGTCAGCCAGAGGTGGGAAGAGGGGCTGGGTCCCTCTCCTCAGCCTTTCTGGAGCAGATGGCAGCAGATTCAAGGAAGAAGTGTGAGTAGTGACTAGGAACAGATGATAAGCTGGCCTACTGCAGGTCTGGAGGGACATCAGCAGAGCAAGTCCATGCCAGTCAACTGGGTCCAGGAGGGCAGGGACTTGCTTGAACCAGTCACAGCACAGTCAGACTTCTCGGTCTCTCAGGGTGGTTCTTATAAGCCAGAGG